GGTTATTGTCCGGGTTTTTCCTGCGGCTTGTATGTTTGTTTGAAGCCTTCGCTGTGAAGTTTTCAATTTACAATATTATGAATTCCAATGGGATTTTTTTCTCTTTTTTTAATGCAGTTCATACTTCTTTGAAATTTAAAATACTTCTTCATCGTTTTCAAGTTACATAGCACATCGCTTATTATTATTTTGTCAAATTTCACTAAACATGTTATTTATACTGCGCAAGAGGCCACGGCCTTTTCTCTGCCTACTTCTAAAAATAACGGAGGAAGAATTTCCTCTCTGTACTTTTCATATTGCTATATCGTCTAAATAATAAGTGGATCGTAATACCCAGCTGGTTTTAATTTCCACCATAGACGCCGCGTGTTTGTATCTTTGCACTAATCTACAGACGCGGTTAATCTCGGAATTATCATTGAGCCTGCTGTTTACAGGACGGCTCCTGGTTTTGTTTCACTAAGGCTCTGCCCGTGTTCATAACGATACGGAAAATTGAAACACTTCGATTCGTACCAAATAATTTCTCCGCGACTCCAGAACTCAAGCGCAAAAACTAGAATCGTGTTGGGATTGATAAAATCATACCTTAGCTTTGCAGGTCACCTGGAACGTATACACATATCCCTGAATGCAAGAACTGAAGAGGTGAGAAAATGGGGGAGGGGGGAGTTTTAAAATCGTCGTTTGCCTTATGCAGGAGGACGTCCCGAGGGAAGAGGAGTCAGGTCAGAGACAGGTGAATAAGCTGGCTATGGTGACAGGACGATGTTGGCCAGAAAGAGCATCATCCCCGAGGAGTATGTGCTGGCGCGCATCGCCGCGGAGAATCTGCGCAAGCCGCGCGTCCGAGACCGCCTCCCCAAAGCCCGCTTCATCGCCAAGAGCGGGGCATGCAACCTGGCGCACAAGAACATCCGCGAGCAAGGGCGATTCCTTCAGGACATCTTCACTACCTTGGTGGACCTGAAATGGCGCCACACGCTGGTCATCTTTACCATGTCGTTCCTCTGCAGTTGGCTGCTCTTCGCCATCATGTGGTGGCTCGTGGCCTTTGCCCATGGGGACATCTACGCTTACATGGAGAAAAGCGGAATGGAGAAAAGTGGTTTGGAGTCCACTGTTTGTGTGACTAACGTCAGGTAAGAATGCAGTGGGATGAGGCAGGGATTGAAAACGGTGTGGGAAAAAATAGGAAACTGCCCTTGCTCTCCTCTTACAGTTATTTTTGTGGAAAGTGAAATAAAGCATTCCTTTAGTACCTTCGGGCACAAAGAAGTAAAAAAACAAAACAAAACAAAAACAAAACAAAACTAATCTGACACATTAAAATCGTTTTAAAGGAAGCTTTACGGATGAGGAGTCTCTGCAAACGTGGAGCTTCAATCCCTCTGGCTAGCTTTAAAAATACTGCACTGGTTATTATAAAAATGGTTATGATTCAGAGGATTCCAGAATGCCTCACTCGGAAAAAGCACATATTTAGTTTTCAGTATGAAAAAGCTGCTGGCCATAGTTCTAGTGTCCACGGGTAAATATCTCTGAACAACAAAAAATATTGTGTCAATGCTAGCAATATTGTTCCAATATTTCTCTTGCCCATGACATTTCCAGCAATAGTGAGGGAAATGGGAAAACACTGGCGGACAGGTGTCCTAGGTTAAAAATCCACTAAAATTGAAATAAGTAGCTACAAGCCCTTCTTTATCAAAAGTATCTTATATAATAGCTGGTTGCTAGCATTGGTTATGCTAAGATGCAGAACTAGAAAAAAATTAACTTTTAATGGAAATTGATCCAAGTTTTTCATGGAAGGGATTATACAGAAGTACCTTAATGTTGTGATTTTCTTTACAAGTTTTAATAGAGTAAAAACAAGACCGTCCTCAGACTGCCTAGCTTTTGCTTCTTTCTCTTGTAAGTGTTTCAGTGGTAAGTAAAGTGAATTTGATTTCACTTGGCCTAAGAACATATTTTCACATGGCCTAAGAACATTTAGATGGGGTGATCTGTCCTTTAATTTTTGTTGGAAGGTGCAAAGAGATCATGTATATCAATTGCAAAAATAGTCACTCTGAAGCAAAACAATGGCAATAATACTGGAAACTTTGCCAGGACATTTTCTGAGTAATATTACAAATTTGCGTAGTGTACAAAGCAAAGCAACTTGAACAAGCACCATTCTGCCAGGCAGCTGTAAAGAATGAGACCTTTACTGACCCTGAAATCTTCTGAATTTAGCATACCATTGCCAGAAGCGGAAACCCAGACTTTGAACTTGTCCTTGTCCGTCCTTCCATTTCCTAAGTAACTTCAATGCCAGCGTATCAGGAAGAGATGCAACATTTGTGTGCAGAGATCACACATCACAGATTTCAGCTCAGATTTTGAGAAGAGAAAAATATACTGAATTGATCCATTGCCTTTATCATCAAGTAGATAGATATTATTGTGTCTTGAACTTTTCACAAACTTTTCTCTGAAAGAAAATATAGATGAAAAATGTCGGTGATTATCAGCGTACCGGATATAAAAGAAACAAAACATTGTGTTTAACAGGTATCTGTAGGCCAAGTATCATTTTCTATAGTATTTCTCTTTAAGAAATTTATGGACATTGATATTGGTGAACCAATTTCATATCAAGATAAATTTTTAACAAACGTGCAGTAGATACTCATAAAAAGAGATTAAAAAACAATAAACCTCAAAAATAAATGGCAGATTTTATTTACAAGACAAATATTTTGGCTTTTCCTGTGAAAAAGAAGTCATGAAGCAGTTTATTAGAGATATAGCATTGGGGCGCCTGGGTGGGTCAGTTGGTTGAGCGCCCGACTTCAGCTCAGGTCAATAATCTAGCGGTTTGTGAGTTTGAGCCCCGCGTCTGGCTCTGTGCTAGCAGCTCAGAGCCTGGAGCCTGCTTCAGATTCTGTGTCTCCCCCTCTCTCTGCCCCTCCCATGCTCATGCTCTATCTTTGCCTCTTAATAATAAATAAATGTTAAAAAAAATTTTAGAAAGATATAGCATCAAAACTAACATCCTTTTGATGATTTTTTAAAAAGAACTTTATAGAATGCACTGGTTGCTAAAAGCTGTTTTACTGCTAGCTTTTATTTTTCACAAGATGTGTTCTGAAGCATTTTCATTACCCTGATGTATTCCTGCTGGTATGAATATTCCATTTACTGTGAGAAATGACGTCTCAAATGCAGTGAGACAAAGCTGATCTCAGCATGACAATTTTTGATTTTTAGTTTTGCTTCTTACCTAAAAAAATAACTTGAAATCTTTTAAGGTTAAAATCTTACTAATTTTATTTTTAACGTTTTCCTACTGTTTATACTTCATCTCAACATTTAGTTTAATCATAACCAACCGCACATAATAAAAATTTTTTCACCAAAAATATAGAACCAGAAAATCTCCATTCTCTCCCAAAGGGGATTAAAAGATGTCTGATAATATTTCTTATTCTTTACATTTCCTTACCTTTCGTAAGTTAAATGTCCCACCATGTCATCAAAATTAGAAACAACTTAGAGTGATGGTTACTCACCAGTATGTCCAAATAACATTCTACCATTCTCATTTTAGGATGGCTCACTTTCTCTTTCATGTGGATGACTTTCCAACATGAGGCAGAAAATAAACCAACATGTTTTCTTTCATTCAGCCTAACTCCTTCTGTACCAGAACAAATGAACAGCTGAACACTTTCATCTTCTGAGGGTGTTTAGCATGACAGGTGTCCATAATAGGCTGGGTCTTGTACCACGTAATATTTAGAATTAAATTCTTTCATAAAATAAACAATACATAAAATACAGCATATGAATAATCTCCCAAGCCATTAAAATGAAACGTGGGAATATTCACCGTCAGTCTGCTCCATGAAGTACATATACATTATTAGAAATCAGTGCTGTATCCAAGTTCCTCCCCTGGGGTCCATTCTTAATCTTTACGAGTTTTTGTATCATACAACACATCTTCTGTGTAGCTAGTGCACTAAGCAATTATTGTGGTTTCCATGAATCTTTTTAGCAGCAAAAGGGGTAAAAGGGCAATTTTTCACGTTCCACTGGAAAGCCAATCAATCATATATGCTTACCCCTCATGGTGTTGCACCAAAGGGCAGTATTGCACCAAAGGGCATATACTCAGTATTCAAATGTTTAAGCATTTTGCCCACTCATTGTGCATGGCATTTATAGATAGATAATACTCTGGCAGATAGCCTACACATGGTTAATCTATAAAATTAGAGGACTTTGGAATTGGCATTGGGGGCAAACATAGGACTAACCTTGTTTATGTAAAGAACCCATGGCAATATAGGTTATGTGGGTAAGTGAATAAATTAACCTTAAGAATAACCAAATGTGGTGTATCTTAACCAGGGGAACAAATCAGACTAACCTGAGAGCTTTTTGTAAGTTTTGCCCAGTCAACTTTGAACTTACCAAATCAGTGTTTGCACTAGATATGGAAGAGAGGTACAATTTGAAAAAACTTCCCAAGAAAATACTGACAATTGTCCACTCTTTCCTTTTGCTTCTTTCAAAAGATCACTAAGCTAGAAGTGACAGAATTCAAGTTCTCATTAATTATGTGATCTTGACATAGCCACTTACAAATCTCTTTCTCAAATTTTTCCTTTAATGGCTTCAGTATTCACTAGAACTAGAGAACAAAATGGGACAATCAATTTAAAAAAAAGTTTTCTTTCCGAATGGCAAAACATTCTTTTTTTATTAAAAATACTAATATTTTTGAGTCATGTGTTTTGTACCACCTTTAAGCACCATGCTTTGTCTGTATGAGGTATACAATAAGTGTTAGCCAATGAGTATGATTTTAAGGGTTGTAAATAATAAAATGTTCATTTATTACTCAATACCTTCCCATATGACTCAAGTCACTTAAACACAGATATGCAATAAATAATAAACATAGAAAGTTTCACCAAGTAAACTATGCCTTTGTGAAAGTATTTCACAAAGTAAAATATGCCTGTAGATACAAATATGTATTTATTATTTTAACTTATTCTTTTAATGCTTTCATATAAGTAGGCCCATCATTGTGTGATGTAGAAAATAACAGAATTGTATCCCAGAAGTCTGAAAGTGGAGGCATTATGATGAGAGAGGGGGAGAGAGAAAGTGCTTGTGTTTAGAATCAGACATTTGACAAGTTAAGTTGCCAGGTGTTTCCAAAAGTATTGAAGAAAATGGAAAATTCAGCTTAGCATGTTATTTCATTATTCAAAATTTGATCTGATGGCACCGTTTTCTGATATCACTCCTTACAGGTCTTTCACCTCTGCTTTCCTCTTCTCCATTGAAGTTCAAGTGACAATTGGATTTGGAGGGAGAATGATGACAGAGGAATGTCCCCTGGCCATCACAGTTTTGATTCTCCAGAACATTGTGGGTTTGATAATCAACGCAGTCATGTTGGGTTGCATTTTCATGAAAACAGCTCAGGCTCACAGAAGGGCGGAAACCTTGATTTTCAGCCGCCATGCTGTGATTGCCGTTAGAAATGGCAAGCTGTGCTTCATGTTCCGAGTGGGTGACCTAAGGAAAAGTATGATCATTAGTGCCTCAGTGCGCATCCAGGTGGTCAAGAAAACAACCACACCTGAAGGGGAGGTGGTGCCTATTCACCAGCTGGACATTCCTGTTGATAACCCAATTGAGAGCAATAACATTTTTCTGGTAGCCCCTTTGATCATCTGCCATGTGATTGACAAGCGCAGCCCCTTGTATGATATCTCAGCAACTGACCTTGCCAACCAAGACCTAGAGGTCATAGTGATTCTCGAAGGAGTGGTCGAGACTACTGGCATTACCACACAAGCAAGAACCTCCTATATCGCCGAGGAGATACAATGGGGCCATCGCTTTGTGTCCATTGTTACTGAGGAGGAAGGAGTGTATTCTGTGGATTACTCCAAATTTGGCAACACTGTTAAAGTAGCTGCTCCAAGGTGCAGTGCCCGAGAGCTGGATGAGAAGCCTTCCATCCTTATTCAGACTCTCCAAAAGAGTGAACTATCCCATCAAAATTCTCTGAGGAAGCGCAATTCCATGAGAAGAAACAATTCTATGAGGAGAAACAACTCTATCCGAAGGAACAACTCATCCCTCATTGTGCCAAAGGTGCAATTTATGACTCCTGAAGGAAATCAAAACACATCGGAATCATGACAGCAAGACAACCTCAAGAAAGTCTTTTATCAAGTTTTGATAGTTTGTGGAAAGCACTGTCAGACTATTCCAGAATGGAAACACAGTAATTTGTCCTTCTATATCTTCATGCACTAGATGATACTCATATTCAAGCAACAGCACTTTCTGTGTCAATAAACAGTAACACACAAGGTGGAGGATTCATGGCTGACACTTGTTTCATACATGCAGTATTTGCAGTTATATTATGTATAGGAAACAGTATGTTCTCATTTTTCTCCATTTGAAACCCAAGAATCGCATAATAGACCTTGAATATAAAAGTTGGCCAAGGAATGATCTGTTCAAAATGCTTAGAGGTTAAAACCACTAAAAGAGGTTAAAACAGATTTCTCTGTTTCTGTTGGTCACTCTGGAAATGCAAATAGGATGAAGGGCGGAAACCCAAAATTTTGTTGTTAACACCTTTTGTATATCAACCAGTATGTTATGTTGCCTTCTTCTTGTGTTTTTTTTTCCCAGATACTGTACCTGGTGAGAGGCCTGAGGCAAAACCTGCTGGTCTCTAGTTGCTTCTAAACAGGTTCTGTTCAGTTACTTCTTCACAATGACCTTTGCAGGTTTCCTCATCCTCCTGATGGCAGCCTATTGGTGGAACTGGGCAAGGAGCTTTAGAGAAAAGTAAGAGCATTCCTGTCTCATTTAGGACTGGATTGCTAAAAGTGACAGTTACTTTTTTGGCTTCTCACTTCTTACAAGCCCCCATAGGGAAATACTGTATTGAATATTTTATTAAAATATTTTCTTTGTATTCACTGTAGTTTTGTGATTTCTCTTTCACAATATTATCCCTAGTCAAAGCTCAAGGGGAAAAAAAAGCATTTTTAGAGGCATGTGAAAGAGATATACAGTGATAATACCTCTCAGATCTTCTTGCCTTTGCAATTGGTTATTCCAAGGGCACTACATCTTTTTCTTTCATTTTGGTTTTATTTCCTTCCAAGATTTGAGATGTTTTCTTGGCTCTTCTTTCTGAGCCTGGTGTATCATGGAAATCTTACAACCTTTTTTCTTTGAATCTCCAACCTTCCGTCTTAAAAATATACTTCCTTCCTGAATTCAGGCCTACCATACATAAGTTTAGCTTTATTTCACTTGCTAAAGTGATATTTTCTATCAAAGCTTGAGCTAATCATCCTGAGCTCCTGTTTCTTCAAGGAAGGGATGAGGGCACAAAGACAAGCACTTAGTTGAGAGGCTCTGGGTTTGCTCTGTTTCACATCAGAAACATCAGAAAGCTGAGCTCTTGTACAGCCTTTTACACAGATTTGGAGATTTTATTTTACTTCATTTATGAACATTTGAAATAGGCAGATAATCACAAATATATTAAAATCCTAAATTAAACAAAAGACTCATGATTCTAATCGATGAATGGAAATGTTTGTTGAGTTACTGAGTTAATCATTTCTGAACAGTTCTAACCACTCCTTTGAATTCCAGACTCATGTAGCAAGCAGGTACTTAAAGCTGCACCTGGTTACCCCATATGCATTTAAAATGTGCCTAAAACCAAACACTCCATTTTCACTAACAAAACCTACCCCCTATCCCCACTCTTTCTTCCAATCAGGCCAAAACCTGGGAATCATACTTGACACCTCTCTTTCATACCTCACATGCCATGCATTAGCAAAACCTGTTAGGTCTGCGGTGGAAATACATCCAGAGTATGACCAATTCTCTCTACCTCTCCCTCCATAGTTCAAGCTGGGTGCTCATTACCCAGAATATATAGGTGCAGCTCTACCAATTGTTAGAATATTAAACCATTTTTGGAAAAGGATGCCAAAGAAAAAAATAGATCTTAATAAGACTTCACCCAACGGAGGTTTCAGAGGTTGGTATCAGACTTCGTAGCAGTTCTGGTACAGGTGCAGGTCCCCCACTCTCACCCTGGGGCAGCTGAGCAGACCCAGAAAGGCAGCTGCCACACCAACAGTAAGACTGTGTATAATGCCTGCCTGCTGCCCCATGACAAGCCAATGTTAGCGGAGATGACACAGGCTACAGGGTAGGTAGTGTTGGGTACAGTCAGTGGGACTGAAATGCAGGATTTTTGAGTCCAAGTGATACAGAATTCCCTGGCACTGGGGCAAATTTAGCTATGGAGCGTGAGCAATTCCTCCATCCCCCTTCCAGCTGCAACCAAATACTAAATACCAAACACCTAATGACCATCAGTTCAATGGGGAAGTCAATCAAGAAGTTCGATGGGGCCTCCTATGTCAAGTCATGGCTCAGGCAGGGACATCATTTAGCTGGTGATGGCCACATTAAAGAAAAGATCACAGTAATAATTCCTAAAACTATACAAACGTTTTAGGATACTACAAGAATTTGAGAACCTATGTTTTTTTAAAAACATATTTAACTGGCTAAAAAGTTTCAGGAACTATTTAGTTTTAGAAAACAGGAAGACTCTGTGTGTATGTGTGTGTGTGTGGGGGGGGTAATTTTGACTTATGTATTGAATTTAAGTATTATTTTATATTAAATATTTAGTCTCTACTCCCACCCTAATCTTCATACAGCAGCCACAATATTCTTTTTTTTTAATTTTTTTAATGTTTATTTTTGAGAGAGAGAGAGAGAGAGACGGAGTACGAGTGGGAGAGGGGGCATAGAGAGAGGGAGAGAGGGAGACACAGAATCGGAAGCAGGATCCAGGCTCTGAGCTCTCAGCAGAGTCCGATGAGGGGCTTGAACCCACGAACCGTGAGATCACGTGACCTGAGTCAAAGTCAGATGCTTATCCAACTGAGCCACCCAGACACCCTGAGCCTCAATATTGTTTTAAGTAATACTACATCGCACCTCTGCTTAACACCCTCCCGTGGCTTTCCGGTTTTCTAACAATGAAAACCAAAATCTTTCCCAAAGCCTGTAAGCCACTACGTCTCATCACTCTTTCCCTTCTCTACCACACTGGCCTTGGTGTTCTTTGAAAAGGAACCATACATACTTTCTTATATCATGGGTTTGCTTGTACCTGGAGCATTATCCCCAGAAAGCCTCACGGGCCTCTCCTGTCATTATTTAGTGACTGGAGTGCCGTCTCATAAGACAATACAATATTATGGTTAAGGAAATAGACTGCAGCCGTACTTAGGATCTGTGAGGTCTTGACAAATTAATTTTTGCACCTCATTTTCCCCATGCATAAAAGCAGAATGATTATGGTACCTACCTCATAAGATTTTGTAAAGAGTGAGTTAACATGTATAAAGGGCTCAGAAGAATTTAATTTCTTTGCCCAGAACAAAAGCTTGAAATGAAGGACTGCCTTGAAATTAGTTGCACTCTTAGTAAATGAGTAACTCAATGCATTACATTTGTTCTCTAAGACAAAGACAAAAGATCTTTGCAGTGTAAATCTAATCTCTTAAATCTGCAGCAGAGACCTTATATCTGCCCACTTCCAGTTATTATGTTTCTTGATTCTTTGATACCTGCCACTTGCCTATCATCAACTAGTATAATGTATAAAACACTATAATGTATAAAAGGAAATATTTTATATACAGAGGATATTTCTGGTTTTACATATCTATCATTCGTTTATTCATCTGGCAATATATTTTCAATGTCTGACATTTACCATCTGGCAAAAAATAGCTAGGTGTGTTTCGTTTTATGAAAAAGGACCAGAAATTTATAGGCAAGGTAGGTGCTGATTCTGCTCTTAAGTAATCTAAGATGGAAAGTATGAGGAAACACTGGCTTGTGTATCAGAATTACAGAAAAGAGGGGTGCCTGGGTGGCTCAGTCAGTTAAGTGTCTGACTCTTGGTTTCAGCTCAGGTCATGATCTCACAGTTAGTTATAAGACCGAGTCCCACACTAGCCTCTGTCCTGGTTGGGTGCCTGGTTAGGATTCTGTCTCTCCTTCTCTCTCTCTCTCTCTCTCTCTCTCTCTCTCTCTTTGCCTCTCTCCCCCTCACGCTTGCTCTCTCTTTCTCAAAATAAATAAATGAACATTAAAAAAAAAGAATTACCAAAAAGACACTTCCATCTCAAAATCAAAGTTAAGACCTACCCTTAGTTACTCAGAGGGCATGGGAAGACAACAGAAGATCCAGGGCCATTGCACATATGGCTTTGCTGAGAGCTGCATGAGAAACCAGAACATTGTTAATCCTTAGAACTACCATTGTTTTCCTGCTTTACCTTATCCCAATATCAGTTTTATTCTATAATTTCTCATCATTTGCCATTTGTCTCAAGACTTTTCCTGAGTAAAAATCCTGTTTCCCAAGCCACAAACATTTCTAAATACCCCTGGCCAAGTGTTTTGGCACATAAGTGTCTCAGAACCAGCAGTGACTTAAAGAAATAACCTCAGTTCCCAGAGTCTAACTCCCAGAGAAGTTGCTAGCCACTTAGTCAACACGAGGCAGTATTCTTTCCCCTCCATTGATATGAATCATTTTTGTTGTTGTTGTTGTTTAATAATTTGGCATTTAAGAAACAAGAAGTTTCCTCTTTACAAGTAAATTAATTATAGATGAAAAAGAATGACAAGTTATCTATGTCTCTTGGGGTTCCCACTCCCAACTTTTGTCATTTTCAGCATGTCGAAGGTAGAGGCAGATCTGAAATTAGTGTCTCTAAGGACCAGTGCATTAAAATAACCATAACAAATCCTACAGGCTGTTTAAGAGGAAACCCAAGGGCCATGCTCTTCCCATGATCTTTACGCACAATTCTCATCAATGGTGATGGGAATTTCCCCGTAGACCTAGGAAGGAAGTGACTCTAATTACACCCCTTGATAATTTACTGCACAGATTCAAGTTTAAGTTCATGAAAATCTTAATCAGTCTTTAACTTCAGATCAAAATATCACATCGGAGCCAAATTTCATGGCAGATTATTCACATCTTCATTAGTACTCTTTTTTGATTGTTGCCCCAGTTCTCATGAAGATTTTCTTGGCAGTACAGTATGACACCCTTC